GACCGACATGGCCCATTTACGAACTTAACCTGCCCACTGGTAAACTATTCATGTATCCAAAATGTTGTCTCAATTCGTTCGAAAGATATCGTGATTACAACATACAGACAGTCATCGCTAGATCGTCTTAGAATTTAACGCTGATCCAGAATATATCTACTTTACTATTATGAATATTTCGAGGAGTTACAAACGGGAGGACAAAGTTAACAAACCCTCCATAGAATGGTGGAAGTTATAAAAAAAAATAATGAGATTTTTGTAATAACTTAAAAGTAATATAAGGGTATAATAATCCGCTCGAAAACTAATTCCATTGAATTTTACCTATTCACATAGCTTCTTATAAATTATAAGTTTTAGAAAAACCAGAACTAAATCTACACATATTGTTCCATCAGCCAAAGAGTTTACTATTCATTACGCTGAAATTAAACCTGTTTGGCGTGAGTGAAAATAAACATTTGCTGTTATGATTTTATATGCAATTGCAACAAATGTTTGCACCCTGCAAAGCTTTCTCTAAATGATGGCAACATTTTACAAATGCTATGGTGTATGCTTTCACTTTAGATAACACATAAATGGAAGCTATTACAATATGGCAGGAATTTTGTTTACGTTCGAATGCAGTTGCAGCATATGGAAAAAAACAAAAACGAAACAAAAGTACTAATAGTGACAACAACAAACGGAAATATTAAAACAAGACAAGCAAGCATGCAACTTAAAAACAAAAAAAAAAAAAAAAAAAAAAAAAAAAACGGAAAAATTAGGGGAACCAATGAAGCATGTCTAAAAAAAACAAAAAAAAAAATGTCGATGCAACTCTTTGGAAAATTCTAGAAACCTAATATCAATACCATAGAAATTCAAGAACAAAGAGCTGTTACATCCTCTTCCACCTAAATTTGACGTATGCCCAAATTGATAAAAATCTAAATTTTCCACTATTAATTAAAGTCAGCGTTGGAATTTCATAAAAAACGTCTTTGTTTATTTAATTCATATCCCCCAATCAACAACAGCTACAAACTGAACGAACATTCGTTGCTTGCCGTTGTCGCTTATTGTGAACATTAAGTTTTTTTATTTTGTTTTGTACATTTCTCAATGCAGTTGAAAATAAAACGAAGTAAGCCAAACCCTTTATGCAATTATGTACGATATTTTTCATTGTTAATGCTTCTTGTCTTCAAATCTTGTGTGTGTTTTCTTCATCGCTTTTAGAAGCTTATAGTGTGGATACACATTGCCGCATAAAATTGCAAATACAGCAAAAGAAAAAATAAATAAAAGACCCAACAGTATAGAGGGAGAATATTATGGAAGCTTGCAATCAAAATAAATAAAAAAGTGTCAAGTTCAGAGGGACAGTACTTTTTATACCCATATCCATAAAAAAACAACTAGAACATTTTGTAAATAGCATCGACGATATTAAATGTTATAGCGAGTTTTACTTAAACATGAATATACCAGCGACAATGATATGGAAATTAGGTGAGGTTCTTTTTTAATTGATGCACCTTTTGAGATGAGCTTAAGGAGTTTCTTGTATGTCCACTTTGGATTGCTTTGGGATTTTACCCCTGGCATTTGTCCAACACCGACTTAAATTTCATGCCAACTTTGAAAGGAATGCAAAACACTATACAGAAATTTTCATCGGGAAAAAATTAGAACAATGTGACAATAGTTTGGAATATTGTTAAAGAAAACCAATGAAAATAAATAAATAAAATAATAATAAGGCAATATTTTTTATCCAGATATTGGCATGGAATACCGATTGCACATCCTAGAATGTGAATTGGAAAGCTTTTAGGTCTCCAAAAATAGAGCATAAGAACTGCAATTTATACCCGATTGCTGTGGTACAGGGTATTATATCTTTGTGCATTTGTTTGCAACATAAAAACGGAATCGAAATGGACTTAAAGATCTTTTGGATGATCTTCGTAGAATCACATTCTGTGTCGATCTCTCTAAACTTTAGAAGCGAGTACTTCAACCGATTTGGTCCTAAAGTCCCTCAAACTAGCAATGTGTGCTCCACAACAATGATATTTGCTTCCAGATATCAGATACATGACAGAAACATCTCTCTCAAATTTTATCCAGATCGGTTGAAATGTATATATATGCAGGGTGAGATGAAAAAACTTCAACCATCTTTAGACTGTTGTCATTTCTAAACCACACGTCCGATAGCTGTTAAAATTATTGCAGTGACAGCTCACTATATTGTTTACAAGCGTTCAAAAGCATTTTGTCGAGAATTCTCCAGAAAAAAAGTTATTCGCGATGGAATTCAAGCGTGGTAGTGTGATTTCTTTATATTAGGCTAAAAAACCACAAGTGGCTATCGTTAGAGCACTCCAGCATTTAAATGTGAATAAATCTTTTGTATAGCGTAGTCCGACGTCAAGAAAGTGGACGGAAGAAAACAGCAACATCAGCAGAAAAGGTTCGAAAAGTAAAGAACCGACTTGATCGAAACACGCGTCGCAGTGACCGAAAAATGGTTCGCGAGCTGAAAATAACGCAATATTCCATTCGGAAAATATTGAAAAATGAGCTCGGGGTAAAGCCATTAAAATTCCAAAAAGTGCAAGAACTTACACCGCAACTGAAAGAAAATACACTCAAAAGAGATAAAGAAAGGCAGAAAGTGGTGTACGCCAAATTTGGTTTTTCCGATAAGAAAACATTCGTAGTCCAGCAGTTTGTAAACAAACAAAATTATCGTGTTTACTTGCCAAATAGGTCAGCTGAAAATGTGCACCTTCGGTTGGCCACCAGAACTCAAGGGCTCGCCATGGTGATGGTGTGGGCCGCAAAAACCGTCGATGGTCGCTCTCCGCTCGTATTAATCGACGCGGCATCAGAATAAATGCCGAATATTATCGCGAAAATATTCTGGAGGGTGTATTGAAGCTTCAGTTCCATCGCACTCAGCACGCGTCACCCAAAAATTACTACAAAATCAGGTTCCAAAGAGTCGATCACCTCAAGCAAGCGCTTCGCCGGGAATGGGCCAAAATACCGCAGGGCAACATTCGGGCAGCGTGTGAAGGTTTCATTGGCCGTTTGAAGGCCATAATTCGTGCCAAAGGTGACCAATTCGAAAATTCTAAACTTATTCTAAAATGTGATGATATTTCCGACATTTTTTGGTTTCACTCAATAAATTTAAAAAAAAAAAATTAAAAATTCTGGCGTTTGACTTTGTTGCAGTTTTTTTATGTCACCCTGTATTTGAGTGAGATTTTGTCTACCTACTTCATTCCATTCGGAAGCTAGTACCATGGAGAAAGAATAATAATAGGTGATAAAAAAACACGAGCCATTAAAAACCTTTTTTTTTAAATTACATTAATGTGAAGCCAAACATTTATTTTAAACTCTATTTTCTCGAGAGAGTTTTGAAAAGTGGTTTCTGTTTCTACACATTATACCAAACAATTTCGAATCTAACCCATTTGCAGAATGAACTCAATGAAAATAAAAAATAAAATAATTTCTAGTTTAGCCGATTGTAAGATTCATTCCAATATATATACCTTCAGAAACCCGATTTATGTCGATATTCCAGGCGTTCATTTTTAAGCTTTTCTTAAGTTGACAATTTCTCCAGATTCGGTACAGAAAAGTTATCTTAACTACACCAAACTTTATACGGACTTAGCTTTATATCATTCCAAAGAAAGGAAAATGTCGATCCTCAACCTTGATCCATCAACTGTCTTCAGCGACTACGTCTAAACATTTAAACACGGCATCACTTGTTTGTGTTTTCCTTAGCTAAGGAAGTGAAAACATAACAAAGACAAACGAAAATATCAACATTACACAAATTTGGAAAAATCGTTATCACCTCAAGTGATGTGTTATTTATTTGGGTATCGAAGGTAGGTATTTGTTTTAGTTGTGTGTACACATGTTTCAATGCCCAATGACCTACCCCAAGTGAAAAATTCTTTCAAGTAAATATTCTTCGCAATGAAACAAACTGATAACAATATGTTAGTGGATGGACCAACAGTGATTTTATTTTTCGTTTGGGGTGGAAGAATGTAACAGAAAATGTGACAGTGTAACAAAATTTTTAGACCCTATTTTGAAATTAGAAAAAGGCAAGAAACAGACTGTACTATCGACAAAATTCTGTCATAATTCTTCTAAAGATTTGGGTATTTCAAGTTGCCTCATCATAATATCTTTCTCGGCGAGTTATATTTCGTAAAAATGTCAACTGTACCCTCACTAATAATCTAAAAGGGTTCTATCAAAAACACCTTTGTAGATGTCTGTAAAATAGGAATATCAAAATTAATATTAACTAGTAATACTTGGAGGTCATTGAGATTTTCTAAAATTAACCATGAATATTGTTTTAGGAACTCTGCAAATACTCGACAATATATACCAAGATCGAAAATTTTGAACCGAAGTGTCTTCAAAAATTTTACAACTTTTTGCCATATAACATAAAATACATTAAAACCCCTTAACTTGTAATAATACCTCTAGCCTTCACTGTACCACCACATTTAACTAGAAATTATAAAAAAAGGCAAGGAAGAGTTTTGCATTGTACATGTATGATGGCCCCTGTGTAAAACGAATAAATGTATGTAAATGTGTGTGCATTGCTTTTTTTAAAAAATGGCGGTCGTTGGCTCTTTTTTTCTAGTATGGGTAATGATAACCAACGACGGTAGGCAGGCACCTTTTACAAATGATAAAATATGATTTTTAGCATATTTTGCATTAGAAGGTAAAAAAGCATTATAAACTTGATTTTCTTACAATAAAAGCTACTTTATCACAGACCGTTTAAATCACTTGCAAACACCAATACAACAGACGCCAAACATACACCGCCGCCAACATCAAAAACCGAAGATACACATTTTCAATTTATGCGATGCTGTATATTATTTCTCAGCAATATTTCAGTTTTTGTTGTTAATAAAGTTCAATGGAACACAAACCTTTTCTGCTATGCTTTTAACTATGATTTCCTTAGCTATTTTCTTTATTTTGATTGACAATAGACAAACGGTTTTAATTTATCACTTTTAATTTAATTTGTGAGAGAATGCACAACACACAACACCGACAAACAGAGCAAGCACAACAAATAAAAAAGTAACGAATTCTTCTTCCTTTTTTGTTATGTTACTCATCTAGAATAGATAACACTTAAGGCGAAGCCGAAAATAAATCGGGCGTTTTTACATTAAACGCACTGTTGTATTTTACAGAGAAAAATGTGGCAGTATTTCTCAAACTGTAAATATTTTATTTTTTTTGTTTATTTTTAAATAGTAGATGTATGCTCGTTCCAGAACTGCAAGAATATAAAACTTTTTACTGCGATAGCCGATTTTTATAATATCGCAAAAATGCTAAACTAGTAAAACAGCAGTAGTGTATTCTTCTGCTAATTTGTATGTGGAAACAAGAAAAGTTTAACATCAAAGGACATAGGAAAAAACGCAACTCTGTGCTAGAGTCTTAAGGTGGAAGTACATAAAGAGTTTTTTTTTTGACTGGCTTAAGTCATGATCCAAGTATAAGGTCCCCCTTACCAAAACAACCAGTCAATTAAATTTGAATTCGCTGCAACCAAAACAAATTTCAAAACTATGGTACAGGCATGGCAGAAGAATACAGGTAGATTCATCAACGCTTGGGTGCATTGATATGTCAAAAAAATTTAAATGTTTTTTCAAATATAAGTAGATTTTTAAATGTTTTCTTATACTATAAACCAATTTTTAAATTAAAAGCATTTTATGTATTCTCACTTTAAGAGAAATAACAGAATCTGGGATGGAAGAGTGGTACAAAAAAAAAAATGGATTCGCACTTGAAAATTTATTAGTTGAATTAATAGTGTATCGGCAAACCATTTATTTATTTTTTTTTTAGAATAGATAGTACCACTCATGGTACAATAAGGAAGTGGAACAGCCCTGAAGCAATGCCCGCTTCCTGTCAGACTTATTCAAAATTGTATAAAAAAGTTGTTTTCATTTTTTCATATATTTTTAGATTTTTAAAATGAGTTAAATAGCGCGAAAAATGAATGAAATGCCTGGATTTTCTCTCAAGAATATGATCCAAACTGTTCGATCGTTCAATGTCATGGCTAATCTGGTTAATAGCTTCATGGTTCAAGTCTGGTTCGGCATCAATATTTCATATTGATTGCTATATTTTTCACATTTACATCCCAAAGTGCTGGCAACGACCGGTAAACTTCCAACAACTCAAAAACATTTTTTTCTCAGTATCCGATATCTCTATGCATTCGCTTGGAAAAAAACGTCGCAAATAAGAATATGGAAGATTCCTCAACCGAACACACGTATAATTTTACAATTATTTTTCAATATCGCACAAAAATATAAATAATAGTCGAACTGTACATCCCTAGCTCAAATAGCCAAGAACCTCAACTAGTTCTGCGGTCATTTAATGAATGCTTCCAGCTGGAAAGTCTCATGAATAGTCGAGTAATCGGTTTTCACCCAAGTCCATAGTCGAGTTCGAGTTTCAGAACTTTGAGTACTAAAAGTCGATTAATCGAAAGTCGACTTACCTATCCCTAGGGTATTAATAAGAATCTATTTTTTGTGGTATATTTTTTGATTTTAACAAGAGAATTCTTCAAAATCAAGGTAATATTTTTTTATATTTTGTTAATTTAAAGTCATTATTTTATATTAAAATAAATATTCTCTTTTTTGTCATTTTCTTCTGGGCCACTTCGAATGAAAACATTGGCACCTGGTTTTTTTTTTCGCAAAAAACCTCACCTATAATACGACACAAAAACAACGTTGTTGGCTGACGAATCTATTTTAACAACAACAACACCAATAATAATATGCATGTAAATGTTATTTACCGGGTCTGTTGGTTGGCTGGCACACTGGTTGGTCTTTACATCCACCTCCCATATGGTGTTGCTGCCGCTGCGCTGCCCGTTCATGATTATTGGTGTATTTTTTGGTGGTGTGCTGCTATGCTGCTGTGTTCATTAACAAAAACCGGGTTACTTTAATAACAACTGACTCCACCGTCATCATTATTGCTCCGTATGCAATGTTTGGGCGTATTTTGTCTGCTTGATTGTCTCATGGCTTCAACATATGAATAATATTTGTCCGACGTCGCTATTCGGTGTCCGTTTAACAGTCATTTACAACCCACGCATTCATTTATTATCTTACTACTTCTAATTTTTAATTTTCTGTGTGTCACACGCTATCGTAGACGCGAGAGGTACGTCTTCGAAGACACATCCAGTGATTGAAAACATTTGATTTAAGAGCACCAGTACTAAGTTCCGCCCTCACCGTTCTGTAACAATGGCCAATGTCTTGGAAAATCAATTAGCTGCCGTTGCTTCAGTAATAGAAAAGCAATTGGACGATCAATTGGATCGTTTGGAAAATTTAGACACTGACGATTTGAAGGCCATTCGTGAGCAACGTATGAAAGAAATGAGAGAATTAAACCAAAAGAAACAGGAGTGGCTGAAAAATGTAAGTACCTATTTGAATATTGGAGATAATATCCTATTTATTGGATGAGGATATCGTTTTCGGTGAATCATGAAACGTGTTTTTTAGCTATTTTAATGACTCATCTTAGTAATTGTTATATGGTAAATGTTGGATGCCGTATTTCATCCCCTTTAGTTTTTATAGCGCATCTCCTAAATTAAAAGAGTATGGTTCCCTAAAAACTCACCCATTTATGTGACGGAAAGAGTTTTTTTTTATGAAAGAAAAAGATGTCATTGGTGTTACATTTTAGGCGATCTATCTGGCACACATTTTGTGCTTAAAAGTCGAAGTCATGACCTAATTCTTATTATTCAACAAGTTTTTAGTTTCTAATTCAGAATTGACTTCCCAAAATACCGTGATTATATTTTTCATCTTGTTACAAGACCCACTACAAAATAGCAAGTGGTTACAACAATTTTATAAATCAACTGTTATCAATGGGCTGTTAGAAGACTATTTGAAATATTCTAAACGTTGAAGTCGTGAGGCCGCCAAGGTTGACATTGTTGACACCCAATGATATTCGATTTGTGTGACCGTACTTAGTATTAATGGTACCTGTTTTTGATAACAGTTATTATTTTTGCAGAATACTCGTAACATATCAAATATGAAGCACAATTTCAATAACAATTTGGGTTCTAATAAATAAATTTATTACGAATCAGGTCGAAATGGTTTAAATCATATACGAAATATATACCACATTTTTCTTGTAGCCTCTACAGACGGTTTTAATAAAATTTCGAAAGAGGTTATTCTACGTAGAAGATCATAGACTACCAGTAATGTAGTCAATGTGGGATTTGAAGTCTATTTAGCACCTACTACACTTATACATCTATGCTTGTCAAAAAATTCAATTAGGTTACTGCAAAACAAAGACCTTTATGGAAGATCATGAAAATAAAGTACGAAAAACAAAATACTGAAACCTATATAAATTGTAAAAGCAACATGGCAGACGATTCTGAGGAGCTTGTTTTTTTATTCCCTGAGATTACCATCTAGATGGCCTTAGATTCCTTGCAACCGGTTTCCAAGTGTGAAGCAGCTAAAGCAATAGCTTCTTGGTAGTTTAAAAGTCTCATCAATTCGCTTGATTATCGACATATATAGTTAAATGATTATTCGTCCTGCTATGCTACTGCAAAGTTCATTTACCATTTCGGCTGCCATCTGGATGCAAGAATCTCAGCCTGAAAATCGATGCAATTGTTATTAAGCTTATATGAGAATGTTATGATTGGGTTAGGGCGGAATACGCCCGCACCGGTGCCTTCATCCGTCTGTACAGGGTGAGATAAAAATGTTGTAACAAAATCAAACGCCCAAATTTATACATTTTTCTCAAATTTTATTGAATGAAAGCAAAAAATGTCTTTGTCACGAATGTTGTTATTTTGGCCCATTCCCGGCGAAGCGTTTGCTTGAGGTGATCGAAACGTTGGTATTTTTTAGTGCCAACCTTGCTTTCCTCAATACTCCAGACACAATAGTCCAACGGATTGGTATCCGGAGATTTTGGTAGCCATTGTGCGCTGGAAATGAAGCGAGGAACCTCATTTTGTAACTATTTTTGGGTGGCGCGTGCTGAGTCCTGTTTGAATGTCAAAGGTCTGCCGCCAAAATGTTTGCCCAAGGCTTTAATACACCCTCCAGAATATTTTCGCGATGATGCCACGTTCGATTAATACGAGCGTAGAACGAACGTCGGCAGTTATGGCGGACCACACCATCACCATGGTTGGCGCTTGAGTTCTGGTGGCAAACCGATGGTGCACATTTTCAGCTGATCTCTTTGGCAAGTAAACACTATAATTTTGTTTGTTTACAAACTGTTGGACAACGAAAGTTTCCTCATCGCAGAAAACCAAATTTGGCATAACACCACTTTCGCCCAGCTCTTTTGAAATTTCAATGGTTTTATCCCTAGCTCAATTTTCAATATTTGACGAATGGAATATTGCGATATGTTCAGCTCACGAGCCTTTTTTTAGCCACTGCGACGCGGGTTTTGATCAAGTCGCTTCTTTACTTTTCAAACCATTTCTGCTGATGTTGCTGTTTTCTTCCGTCCACTTCCTTGACGTCGGGCTACGCTACCAGTATCACGCTACCATATATAAAGAAATCACACTATCACGCTTAAATTCCGTCACGAATAACTTTTTTTCTGAAAAATTCTCACCAAAATGTTTTTGTACGCTTGTAAACAATATAATGAGCTGTCGGACGAGTGGCTTAGAAATTACAGCAGTCTGAAGTTGGTTGAAGTTTTTTCATCTCACCCTGTATATTCCAATGAAGTCGAAAAAGATTAACATGTTATCACTAATCCCATTTCCTTCGCCTGACATTTTCCGACAAAATGGTATGTCCCGGATTTGTGCATGATCAACACGTGAAGAAAACCAGCTTATCGTAGTCCCAGCTCACACTTTGCTGCTTGGAATTGAGTGGCTGGAAGTTTTTCAGCACATCCAAGGCAAATTGGGAGTGTTCTTGAGAGATCCGGTCAGTAAGGACGCGGCTCTGCAGTGGTTAATTTGGACATGAGTGCTCTGGATTTAATCGCAAACCACAAGAGTCGCCCATATGTCAGAACAGGTAGAGCGCAATGATGCCTCGTAGCGAGGTATTTGACACACGGAGAGGGATTCGGTATAACTCCATCCAGTAATGATAGAGAAAAATTGGCATATTTAGGGTTTCTTTGTGAATAGTACAAGTTCTGTTTATCCCCAAATAACTTCAGCGAATAACATTCGTTACTAATTTTATATTTATCAATTACACTTAATATATTTTAAATTTAATATTCGTATTTTGCAGGGTCATGGCGTTTATACTGAACTCGCCGATGAAAAGGAATTCTTTGAAGTGTCAAAAAAATCACCCAACATTGTGTGTCATTTCTATCGCGATTCAACAGAACGTTGTCGCATTGTCGATATGCATTTGAAGATCTTAGCTGGGAAACATGTTGAGGCCAAATTCTGCAAAGTTAATGCTGAAAAATCTCCCTTTCTAACACAACGTCTGCGCATTAAAGTTATACCCACAATTGCCCTGATAAAGGATAGCAAAACAAAAGATTTCATTGTGGGCTTTACCGATTTGGGCAATTGCGATGATTTCTCCACAGACATGCTGGAATGGAGAATAGCCCAGTCTGGAGCAATTGATTATAAAGGCGACCTAATGACACCACCCGACGTCAAGAAGAGGGCATACATCAATCGTCCTAAGAAAACTATACGCGGTGGTTATGATTCGGATGATTCCGATATTGATTTCGACGATTAACCGCATTAATGTCGACGACCGTAGTGCAAATTGAGTTTAATGTTGTGTTTTGTAAACAAAGAAAAAGAAAAGAAAAAACGGAAGAAATATTTGAAATATTTATTAAATACGTCTGCCTTATTTGCAGTTTCACAAGTGTCTTTAATTTGAGCTTGAGTTTACAGTTGAGTTGAAGGTTAAAATCGTCATTTTTTAAAAATGATCAACACAACCTGCAACTTGTTTACCTTATACAGCTTAATATCAAAATGTATCAACAAATATTTTGTTTACAAATTAAAAAAAAAAAAACTTTTGTAAACTGTAATCTTAGTACACAAACAAACTTAAATCCAAAACTGAAAAGAAACAAAGAAATCTCTTAATGCAACATTCTACTTTTGTCAGTTTAAAATTTTGTTCAAAGTATTCTATTCTAATTTTGTTGTCCTAATTTAAAACATTTTTGTTTTTTTACAATGGTTTTCTATAACTTACAAAACATTCTCTTTTTGTGTTCATTTCTAGGCTTTGCTGGAAAAATTATACTCCTTAAGAGATTAGCACAAAATTTCATACAAATACAAAATTGATCTTTTTTAGTAGTTTTAATCTAAAAACAAAAAATGCAAAATAAAAAGACAATTTATAATTGTAGATTTTTTAGTATTTAAAAAATGCAATGCATAAATCATAAGCAAACAACAACAACAAGAACAAACAAACAAAAAACACTCATTCACAAAGAGCGAATAATATTTTTGAATAGTTATATAATATAATTCCTATTTTTATAGTGGTAATACAAAGTTTTGACATTCACAAATTAAATTTTAAAATTTAAATCTACAAGAAATCAAACTACAACAACAAAAAAGAGCATAAAACAGCAGCAACAAAACAAAATCACACAGCATAACATACGTATATATGTCTGGTTTTATTTTTTCACACTTTATAGTAATAACATAATTTATTTTTTTATAATTTTAAATGATAATCGTATTTTTTTAATTAAAAAATAAAAATGCATGGACAATTTTTTTATGTTTAAAACAAACTTTTTTATGGCGAATTTATTTACATTGTTGGTAATTTGGTTGTGGGTAGGCAAAGATGGTTAAATGGTTTTTAGGACGAAAGCAATAAGCATCCATTAGAAATTTGAAACCAAAATGCTATGGGGAGTGAGGAATAGTTTTATAATGAGGCAAACCATTAGTCCGCAATCAAAAAGAAAATAATTTTATGAGAAAAACGAAGTTGGATAAGGTAAAGGACAGATTATTTTCAATCTTCTCTCTTAAATATTCACTCTTCTTTTTGAGAAATATTTCATTTCATGGGAAATATTTCATGAAAGAATTTGATTTTTCTAAAATTTTTATACTTTTTATACCCCCCACCACAGTATGGAGCGTATAATAAGTTTGTCACTTCGTTTGTAACACCTCGAAATATACATTTTAGATCCCACAAAGTATATATATTCTTGATCAGCATAAAATTCTATGTCGATTTAGTCCATCCGTCCGTATGTGGAAATCACTCTAGCTTCCAAACGAATTGAAATAGATTGATAAAATATTACTCAAATGTATATTATGTCTGCAAGACTTTTGGTATTGAAAATGGGCCATGCAGGTCCTCGTCTTCGTATAGCCCCCATATAACGGTACCTCCCGATATTCGGTATTTTGATGATTTTAGCTACATTATTCACCGGAAGAAAATTGTCTGTGCAGGTCCACGTCTTTGTATAGCTCCCATATAACGGTACCTCCCGATATGAAGTTTTAGCTGGATTATTCACCGATTTTTTTAAGTTTCGCATTTGAATATTGTAACGGCTTATAACAGAAGTTGTCTATGCAGGTCCACGTCGTCGTATAGACCCTAATATAACAGCTACATTCGACATTTTTAAGATTTTAACAGAATTGTTAACGGATTTTATTGTATTTGAGAATTGCCCAGTTCGTTCCAATTGGTGGAGGGTATTCCTAAAGCGTTTTTACTTGTTATTATTGAAAAGAATACACACGCATAAACAATTAAAACCTAGAAAATAAAAAAAAAAAAATAAAATCATATGGTATTATAGACCGACCTTCGGTTTTAGGGATAATCTAAGAAAACATGTACCTATATATACAATATATAATCCCCAATACGAACCCTATGTACAGAATTTTAAACAATTTCCAAAATCGTCGACCTAACACGTCAAAATGCCGAATATTGAGAGGTACCGTTATATGAGGGCTAACATTTTACAACTGGACATCTCTATATCAACTAAGAATTTTTTGGCGATCAAGAGAAGTAACAAACTAAATGGACAAATAACGCTACCCGTTTTAATAAAACAACAAACACAGTAGACAACTTTATGGTTTTTGTTTTTTTTTTACAGACGTGTGGCATGAAAATTGCATATCGTACGTTACGTTTAACGTTACGACTGTCGTGAAGATACGAAAGCACGTGTTATACTAATTGGTATGTATACTAAAATTCCAAAACGAAACGTATCGTACGTTACGGCTGTCGTGAAGATACGACAGCACGTGTTATACTAATTGGTCTGTATACTCCAATTGGATCAGCTGGTGGTTTATTTACAACTTGATTTGTTCTTTTGCCCGTTTCACAACCAAATGAGGGGCTGTTTTACAATGAGAAAATATAGAAAAGAAATAAGTAATTCTCTAGCATTTTTACAAGGCAATTTTGTTCCGAGCAAAATATTTGAAACTAAAAGCAAGAAACTTCCAGTACGAGTTACATTTCCATGCCCTTCCTTTTCTGCAAATTGCCTAGTGTATATAATACGAAGGTTGTTGTTTTTCTAACACATTTCCGATAATTTCTCATAATTTAGCAAATATTTAACAAACACAAATGTCATTTTGAAAACATGGGCAAAATTATCCCAGTATGGACTTGAAATGGATTTCTGTAGAACCTTGTTTGGAGAAGAAAAAATGCCGGTGCTCTTTTGCTCACGTAAAATGGGAAAACATAATTTTGCAAGTGCATGTGTTTTGGCGTCGTCGTCGTTGTTGTTTATGTTTGTCGCCCCCCTCGACAAGCAATCCACCCCTTAAGCCTGATATTTTATCGGCCATATGAGAATCCAACCAGAAAGAGAGTACCCATTAACTGGAGACTGTTCGACCCCGTTGATGAGCTCATAGCATGGCAATAGCACAAATGAACTTGTTTTGCGCTGTGTTATTTGTTTTCACTACGCTATCAACGTTGTGGGTATGTATTTCTTCTCCATGCTCCATGCGCACGCAAGCCAAAACAAGTTTGGAGCAATTTCTGTGTTTGCTTTTATTTGTAGAGGAAAGCAATTTATGAATATTTCTGTAGTTTCAATCAGTCTTTCGTTGGATACGTCGCGTTACGCCAGCAGTTTCTTTTTTGATTATTTGCTTACCACCCATATGCGGCGGTTAAATAAAAACACATTCGGAAACAACTAAAGAAACCCCAAATAAAAGTTGAATTCTCTAGAGTGGTGGTTGTAAAAAAAAAACCAAACACAAAAAGCAATTTTTGATGACGAAGTCTAAAAACGCCACAGATTACCAGTACTCTCCATGACACACAGCCGTGACAACGAGCGATTTTGAATGTTTCTTCTTCTGGTGGTGTTCGGGGTATTGTGTGCTTATTGCCTTTTTGTATTGTTAAATTAAAAAGAATTTTAATTAGAACAAATTAGAATTGTAAGCAAACGAAATCAAGTGGTTCACTATCGATCTGTTGTCGTTCCAAAAGTTTAAAGTTCACAAAGCAGGCAAGGAAAAACCAATTACAAAAATCAATCCAACCAACAACGAAAAATATTTTATGTGTGTGTGTTTTTTTCCAAAAAAAAAAAATAAAATCAATAAAAACGACAATCGTTTATGATAATCTGTGTGGAATTGGAAAAAGTGAAAAAATACAAAGCCACAATAACAACAATAAATAAGAATGGCTCAGAGCTCTTCTAAAACGGGTTCACACAGTAACCTAATGGCCAGCGGAAGTAGTACTCCAATACGTATTGGCAGTTACCATGGTCATGTATCATCGAGTGGTGGCAATGACTCGCCCACCCCCATGATGCATCATCAGCAACAGCAATCGCAACAACAACAACAACAACAGTCTAGCAGTGTTCCAGCTACTGCTGGACATCTGGGTCAAAGTTCGGCTTCTTTAAATATGGGCCCATCCACCACAAGTCAACATCATCCTCAGCAGCAACAACAACAGCAGCAGCAACAAACATCCTCTTCTACGGTTGTTATGAGTTCCAGTGTTACCCCACCAAACAGTGCTGGTTTACGTCAATCGGGAGGTAAGTTTTGAGTCTGAAATCCCAAATGTGCAGACATACATACATAACAGTGATGTATGTATGCCCGTTTGTATTTGCACATAGTATCTGTATGTGCGTATGTGTGTGCTTGTGTAATGAACGTCTGAAATTTCATACTAGATTTTCTTCTGTTTATTTCTTTTTCTTATATTTTGTTTTTCCACGATTTTCTTCATTATTTGAGTTAAACCATTGCGCGTTGTTTTTTGCAATCTACCCATTCGAATGTTTTCTGTTTCCTTTTTCCATTTTTTTTTTATAAATATCACATTTGTTTCTATTTTTATTTTCGTTCTGTTGTTGATGTACACAGCCTGGGAGGTAATGGCTAATTGTTTTTTCATGTCATGGTGGTTTAGTTGGTAATTTTGCTTAACTGGGCTTCTGAAATCTCCCCCTGAAATCTCAATATCCGTTTCCGCTTAAAATGATGGGTATTCTTGGTAATGATTTTTAATTTAAGTTGTGCCCATCTGTAGGTACGTATGTGTAATTTATAATATAAAAATAGGGGATTAGCTAATATGCCCAGCTTATCATGAATGTCCAAGAATTAAAAGTAAACCATACATTCGGGGGCGAGCAAGTAAGAATCAGTAGGATTTGCTATCTAAATCTAAACGTGAGGAGCCTTAAAGTGTTTTAGGTCGAAACTAAGGTTGTTACAAACATAGTAATGCGCCAAATCGGGGACTCCATTCGTTTGTAGGAGATTTTAAATTTTGATATTGTGGGAAAGTTACACAATCAGTTAATCTTCGAACCCCAGGTAAATTTCGTAGAAGGATAGGGCTTGTTGCGGGAAGACTGAACCGAATCGCTGCATATAAATGTATGATTAATTATAACAAATTAATATCGGACATTTCGGAACGAGTTTAGAGATAAAGAGGGTAAATATCATTTAATACGACTAAATTGAAATGACGGGTTTAGACTCCATGTTTCCTTTAACAATATTTTCAGGATGTTTGGGTCGATCTAGTTATGTCCACCTGTTTTTCTGGTAGGTATACACGATAACAAAGTTTTGTCAAATGTAGACCTATGCACCATATTGGCTTACTCCTTCTAGAATAAAAGTTAAACATTTTCAAATTTGCTTGGAACATAGGTCAGACGTGAAAATGGACAACATAGAATTGAAAATTTATCCTCGTATTATAGGGTGAGATAAAACAACTGCAACAAAGTCAAACACCATAATTTTTACATTTTTTAACATAATTAAATGAAAGCAAATTCGGAAATGTTCGAATCGGTCACCATTGGCACGAATGATGGCCTTCAAACGGACAATGAAACCGTCACACGCTGCCCGAATGTTGCTCTACGGTATTTTGGCCCATTCCCCGCGAAGAGCTTGCTTGAGGTGATCGACACTTGGGAATTTTTAGTGCCAACCTTGCTTTCCAAAAAACTCCAGACACAATAGTCCAACGGATTGGTATCCGGAGATTTTGGTGGCCATTGTGCGCTGGAAATGAAGCGAATGTCAACGAATTTTTGGACAACGAATGTTTTCTCATCGGAAAAAAACAAATTCGGCAGTTCAACACTTTCGGCCAAGGCAAGCAACTCTTTAGCCATTTTGAGTCTATTTTCTTTCTGTTGCGGTGTAAGTTCTTGCATTTTTTGGAGTTTCAATGCTGTAACCCCGAGCTCATTTTTCAATATTTGCCGAATGGAATATTGCGATATGTTCAGCTCACGAGCTACTGCAATGCGGGTTTCGATCAACTCGCTTCTCTACTTTTCGAACCATTTCTGCTAATGTTGCTGTTTTCTTCCGTCCACTTCCTTGAAGTCGGGCTACGCTACCAGTATCACGGTAAAGAGCGAAGGTACGAGACACAAAAGATTTATTCACATGTAAAAGCTGTAGTGCTCTAACGATAGCCACTTGTGGTTCTCCAGCCAAATATAAAGAAATCACACTATCACGCTTGAATTCTATCACGAACAATTTTTTTTTCTGGAAAATGCTCACCAAAATGCTTTTGTACGCTTGTAAACAATATAATGAGCTGTCACTGAAATAATTTTATCAGCTGTTGGACGAGTGGCTTAGAAATGACAGCAGTTTGAAGTTGGTTTGCTGTTTTTTCATCTCACCCTGTATTATACGACAATAATATTATAAAGATGTAAGACAACTGAAAATTTATTTTTTTTTGGAAGTTTTAGTTCCTCAAGAGAAGTAGAACCGGACTGTTCGTTTCAGCTGGAAAATGAAGTCATCTGGATCAATGTAGGTGGCAAATAACAAGTTGTGGACAGCTGCTAAATATTCTAATCCGTGTTTTTTTAGAGATCTTGAAGATAATAGCTCAAATTCCGCAACGATATTCCATGCACATTGTGGGGGTGTCATTCTGATACCAAATAACACAATAATCTTCTCACTGTGAAGGTGTGGCTACGTAAGCAGCTTGGCATCATGGCTGAGCATTTTAATGACAAATTATAAGGAAAATCGACGCAGGATCTGAGTGGTTCCTTGCGAAGATTGCTTATGTACTTACAACTTTAATCCTGGGCTACACTACAAATTGTAATTAAAATAACGCATGCATCTCTAAGTATCTATAACTGTCACGTCGTTAAATATGATCCCTACCCATATTAGAGCGACTTAATGGTGTTCCATTCAATTTAGAATTTTGAGCAAATTAATTGAAGATCAAACATTCATTTGAAATTGTCTGTAATCAGCATATATATAACAATTATCCAGAATATCTTCTGATCGTTGCCAGGCGACTTTGATTCTTTTCTCTTAACGTTCTCTGCTGTAATAGAAAACAATAAAAGAACCACATATCTTAATATTATTTTCAAGCCTGCATTTGTTACGAATGAAAACATTTCGAGGCCGGAAACTATTGCATGCATACCATGATTGCCCGAACGTGAATATTTTCATTTTGCTAACCCATGGATTATTATTGTGCCATCCATTTTTATTGAGTTTCATTTCACCATTGTTTTGATACGCCACCACCCAAAGGATAAATACCATAATACTTGCCATGTAGTGTAAACAAGCTTATGTTGATGACAGCATGACATTTTTTGCTGACTAAATGGAAGGATGATAAATGAGCAACAGAATGTAGGATATAAAAAAATGAAATAAATTTAATTGAGACATTATTAGAGGGGAAATAGGATGGCCATATCCCACATGGGAACAAAAATAGCTTAGCAGTTTATTTTATGAACTTTCAAGTTATTTTCCGTGAAGTCTAAAATTCTAAAAAACCAGACATTTCAGTATTGACAAATGCTAGCTAATAAAACGATTCCCTTGTTATTCTTTTCAAATCTTTTTATAGCTTAAAAGTATTATCCCCATGTGCATTTGGTTTTCGAGTAAAGTAGCTGGATCTAAGTAAACGTCCTGAGAAGAAATTTGAATTTGCAGTTAACATATTGCAGATGGATTTTCATAAATCAAGGAATCGTGAAAAAATAGGGCAAAGCAAACATACCATGACACATCACATGAAAACTAGGATGAAAACGCGTCAAATATGGTCCATGGATACATAATGGTCTGGGAGAACTCACCTAGAATCGTAGATATCCTATGTAGTCGCTACGAATGTTATTGAATGATATATTCCCCAAATAGTCTGTCCTTTCCTTTTGCAGGGCACTGAAAACAGATACTTTCATTTTCTGCTTATCCCCACAGAGTCGAGGACATTAATTATTATTTTTTATAAGTTAAACAGTTATTGCTCTATCGGAAATTCAAAGTTCACAATTCCTAAGAGGAAAGGGACAAAATCCAGCATGCTGAAGCTAATTGACAGGCAGACGAGACCTTGCATGTTAATTCAGCCATTTTTTTTTTTTTTTGAAGTTGTGGAGGCTCGTCAGTATAATACCTCGCTATGCTAAGAAATTGGACCCCGTACTCACCAAGGTTTCTCAGAGTAAATCCGCAATCAAGAACAACCTAGCTTTAACCCATTTCAACGTGGCTACCCCTCCGCTGAAAGGCCCAGTTTGTTCGAATTGGTCACCTTTGGGACGAATTACGGCCTTCAAATGGCTAATAAAACCGTCACACGCTGTCCGAATGTTGCTCTGCGGTATTTTGGCCCATTCTCGGCGAAGCGCTTGCTTGAGGTGGTCGACACTTTGTGGAGTAAGTTCTTGCACTTTCTGTTGCGGAGTAAGTTCTTGAACTTTTTGAAATTTCAAAGGCTTTACCCCGAGCTCATTTTTCAATATTTGCCGAATGGAATAATGCGAAATGTTCACCTCACGAGCCATTTTTCGGCCACTGCAACGCGGGTTTCGATCAAGTCCATTTCTGCTGATGTTGCTGTTTTCTTCCGTCCACTTCCTTGACGTCGGGCTACGCTACCGGTATCACGTTAACGAGCGATGGTACGAGACAAAAAAATTTACTTACATTTAAATGCTGGAGTGCTCTAACGATACCCACTTGTGGTTTTCCAGCCAAATATAAAGAAATCACGCTTGAATTCCATCACGAATAACTTTTTTTCTGGAAAATGTTCACCAAAAATTCTTTTGTACGCTTGTAAACAACAAAATGAGCTGTCCCTGGAATAATTCTAACAGCTGTTGGACGAGTGGCTTAGAAATGACAGCAGTCTGAAGTTGGTTACAGTTTTTTCATCTCACCCTGTATAATCGGCCTCCAATTTCCCAGAAACCACATTTGTAGGCTACAAAGGTGCAATACTGAGACATCAGCTTTAAATTGTTTGAACAATTAAAACCCTCTTATGCTTCCCCCAGCATTCCTCCACTCTCTAGGTATATAAGTATATATCTATGAAAATGTATGTCACACGTGCCAATAAGGCTCTATTGCTCCCCATCGATTAGTTGCTATTCGAAGCCAATAAATTAAAGAAATTTTCGTGTGACAAAAACAAAGATCTCATAATGCTGGTAACCATTATTATTATTTAGCATGCTTAGCTTTATTACAT